GTTATCGTTATTTTTATTATCATTTTTATTGTTCTTACTATTATTATCATTGTTCATAAATATTATCCATAATAATAATTTATAACTAAAAATGACTGCTGTAATATTTATGATATCTATGTGATATAAAGTGGCTAAAGAAGAGATTGTGTTCAATCCATTTATAACTAATTTTAAATTTTCCTTCTTTTTTTTCATTGTTTATTAATTTCCTTATTTTTTTTTCAGTTTTTATTTTCTCAAATTTCGTTATACAATTAATAATTATAATTTAAGCAATAGCTTATAATAGTAAGCTAACAATTTTCATTTATGTTATGGCGGAGAAGAATTTAAAATTTGATTTGTAATGAATCAGTCGACATTTTTGATGAATCAATTTCTTTCTAACACACAGGTTATTCAATTTCAAATTTTTTGCAGTATTTTTAAGTTTGGAATTTTTATTTAAAACATATATATTGTTAAATTGAAATTTTACATTTAATAAAATTAATAAAAAGTTTGAACTTATAAATCTAAACAATTACCTTTTCAATAAATTTATTATTAAAATATCTAATAATTACCTTTTAAACAAACTTAATATTGAAATATCTACTAATTACCTTTTAAATGAACCTAATATTGAAATAAAAATTACTAATATAAGTGAGCAAATGTTCATTTTTCAAAGAATTATTTATTTATTGTAATTTCATATAAATTTGTTTTAATATATTTCATTGTTTCCGTTAAAAAATGCCGAAATTTTGTTATAGATGAACACTGATATAGTTATCAGTATTAGTAATTAATTATAATTATTAGTATTAGCATAATTATTTGATATTGTTATTAACATTATTACTATTATTATTTTTTCATTTTTACATCACTTCTCTCTCTCTCTCTCTCCCTTTTTATTGTTCAAAATACAAATTTGCATAATAATGAAAAATTTTAGTATCATTGCGCTGTTTTCTTTTTTTCTCTCCTTATAAATTTTTAATGAATAATGAATTTTTAATTGAATATTAATGAATATTTGCCAAACATTACTGTAATTGTTAGTTTGATCTGTTTGATAATTATCAGTTTTATCTGTTTGATAATTATCAGTTTTATCTGCTTGGTAATTATCAGTTTTATCTGTTCGATAATTATCAGTTTTACCTGTTTGATAATTATCAGTTTTATCTGTTTGATAAAAATCAGTTTTACCTGGTAATTAAAAGCCAATTAATGCAATCAATACGCCCACATTTCTTTTTCATCTTTTTGTTTCTTTTATGGTTTCTTTTTCGTTCAGAAAAATGTTCGAAAATATCGTTGTGATATTTCAAACAGAAAAAAATTAGAAATTAAAGGAAAGAGGAAAACTTTTCTGAAAGGTTGACTAATTGATTTATCCTCAATTTTCAACCATAATTAATGGTTGGATAAGCTCTCCGATTGATACTGATCTTTTTAATTTGATAATTTTTATAATTAACTAAAAATTAAAATAATAAAATTAAAATAACAATATGCTATTATATCAGTTATTATCAGATAATTATACGATTGTTTGAAAGATAATTTTTTGTAAAAAATAATAGCATATTGTTAAGATTAGGTATAAATGATTATATGCAAGTTATTATCAAATAATTTTATGATTCTTTGAAAGATAATTTTTTTTAAAAGAAGAAAGTAGGATATTGTTAAGATTAGGTATAAGTAATTATATGTATAGTACGTAATTATATGTATAGTACAACAATTTAATACTTACTATATTATGATCATTTTATTGTATTTTAGTAATTAATAAAAATAATTTAAACTATAAAATATTAATTTTTATTGCATTTTAGTAATTAAAATTTTAGTAACTTATATAAACTATAAAATATACTAATGATTTATTGCATAATTCTAATATTCAAATTACAAATTTGATACAATAATTTTTGGAAAAATTTGATGTTTTCATGCATTTTCTATAATTTATATGAATATTCAATCACATTTAAATTGTTTTTCCAGCAATTTGTGACTTTTTTATGAATCACTGTGATTCACAACAATAAATGATGTATAGCGATAAACTAACATAATTTTTCGTTTTCCCTACGGCTTTTTATTTCGCATTCAACGAAATATTCGACAAAGAGGAAGTAGTAGGAAGTAAAGATAGCAATGCCAACAACATCTGCTATATTTACGGAAGTATCAACAATGGAACAACAACAACAACAACAACAACAACAGCGTGAAACATCATCACCATTACAAATGGTAGTATTACGTTCAACGCCAGGTTTCTTTTTCAACATCTCTATCATTTTTTCCTTTTTCTTTTCTTTTCTTTTTTTGAAATTTAAAAAATAAATAATAAATAAGAAATCAATCGGTTATGATATTTCTTTGATATGAATTATTTGCTATTGTTGTGATCGATGAAAAAATCTTTTTAACTGAAATATATTTCATGAATTTCAAATATAATTTAATTTACTTCAAATTTTTATCACTAAAAATTAATAATTAATTAAACAAATTAAATTTTTTTTTCTTTAATTTTATTATCGAATAATTTTTGAAAATATTTAAAAATGAAAATAAATTTACATTTTATTTTTCAACGATATCTTAATTATTATATCATGCATTATATAATTAATTGAAAATTTTAAAATTAAAATTTATTAATTACAATAATTATTTTTTTATTGAGTATTTTGATAATGATTTTTTTGCAACAAAATTGAAAAACGATATTTTAAAAGATATCATTTGCTAATTTTCATTTTAAACCACACAATTTTACATTCTCATTAAGTTTGATTTATTTTTAAAAAATTCAAATTATCAATAATAACCGCCCAATTTGGTAGTTAATTTCAAATTCATTGATTTAATAAGTAAAATAAAAAACAATCAATAATTCTTTTAATTATTAGATTATTCTTTTTTTCATTTTTTCTTTTGAAGGTCGTAAAACATGGACGAAACGTTTGTCAAAAACGATTCAACGTCGAAGTGGCTCATTTCTAAATACATTGGTGCCGTTTCGTAAAAGTATCGATCAGAATCATTCGAATGGTAACGATGATAAATCATTGTTACCACCATCAACGCTTCATCATCATAAACGACATGCAAGCGCTTCACCCGCTATTTCTTTTCAAACTTCTACCAAAGGCACATCTCTTCTTGTAAATTGATAAATTAAGTATACTATTAGTGTTGATATCGCTATTGCATGCTATAGTTGCCCTTATTACCAGTGGTAGGTATTATATGATTTCATTATTTATGAAATAAAAGAAGATAGATATCAAATGGAGAGAAAGAGAAAGAGAGAGAGAGAGAGAAAAGAAAGAAAGATAGAAGAAAAAGTTTTACCTTGACGGATAACATTAAAAATTTACGGAAAAGAAAAAGTAATGTTTAGCATATGTTTATATTAATCTTTTGAGAAAAGATATATCACATGAAATAATCATTTCAATAATTTGTATTATTTTATTTTTTAAAAAAATCAAAAAAAATATTTGAAGAAAAAATAAAATTTATTATTGGTTAAATTTATTTAATTTAAAAATAAGAATTTTAATACTTAAATTTATCATTTAAATATTGATTGATTTAATTTAACAGGTATGCATAAAGATGTTGAAAGACAGGAAATGAATATTAATAATGAAATTCATAAGGATGAAAAGAAGAAACAACAACGAAAGCATCAACAACAACAACAACAACAACATCAACAACAACAACAACAACAACAACAACGTCGAAAGGTTTAATTATTTTTAAATTTAATTTTCATTTTTCGTTTACTCAAATTTATTACTACATTACTTTAACTTTTTATCTTTCTTTTATTTTGTTTTATTATTATGATAAGGAATTTTGCTTAGGAAAAAATGATAATAAACGATTTTGTTGTAAATGGAATTTGTGTATGTGTGTATGTATATGTCTGTATATGGTGTACGCGAGTACTTATGTGTATGTGTGTATGTGTATCTGTATGTGGTGTATTTGTGTATGTATGTGCCTATATATGGTGTATGTGTGTATCTATGTGTATGTGTGTCTGTGTGTGATGTATGTGATGTATTTGCGTATGTTTGTGTATGTATGTGTATGTCTGTGTATATGTGTGTTCTGTGTATGTGTGTATATGTGTGTGTATGTGTGTGTGTGTGCATGTGTATATATATGTGTACATACGTTGTGTGTGTGTGTGTGTGTGTGTGAATGTGTATATATATGTATATGTATATGTGTGTGTGTGTACTGCACGTGTATGTAAATGTGTGTGTTTCAAATTATTAGATCATTCCTTGTTCGTCGGAAAGTGTTCGCTTAATGTTTGCTTCAAAATTCATTTTTTCCTCTTATCCAGTTTATTTAAATAAATAAAAGGAAAAAACGAATTTCGAAATTGAAAAACGATCTTCAATCATTTTCATACCAAATTTATTTTCATGATATGAACGAAGATGATTCATTCATCCATTCATTAAAATGAAATATTATGTTTTATAATTTTTAATTTCGTTTTGACCTTCTTGACCTCTAAATGGTTAGCTTTACACTCTTCGATAATTATTCCAATTATTTTGATTAATTCTTTTTATTCCTCCTCGATCTATCACGACGAACCCTTACTTAATTCCCGCATAATATCTCTATCAAAGTAATTTTCCCTGAAATTACCAAATGATAATTGTTGTTAGCATTTGAAGCCTCCAAGTATTTTTTGAGCTCAAATTAATTTAATTAGCATTACCTGAGATGAATTATTTTTATTTTCTTCTAATTGAAGATGATTGTTTATTTTATCATTAATAGAAAAATGGAATTGATAGTTGAATAAATAGCAATAAAACAATGGACCTGTAATTATTTCAAATAATTAATTAGAAAATAAAGGAACAAAAAAAACGAAACCATTCTTGGAAAAGGTGCCAGAAAAGTTGACTTAAATTTTTTAAAAGTTTAGTTCACTTAAAAGAAGGTTTAAACTGAAAGTTAAATTTTAAGAATTAGCTCAAATGGATTTTTTGCATTTAAACATTCAAGTAGTTTAAGCATATTCTCATAATGTTAAATTTTAATTAAGGTGAATAATTTAAAATAAAATTTTTCCTTTAGTTTAATTTAATAGTTCCTGAAAAAGAGAAAGCTGGTACTAAGATTAAAAATTTTTTAAATGGTAAAAAAGATAAGGTAAACTATTTTTCTTTTCAGTTCTACTAATTCTGTAAATGTTTCCCTTCTAAGCATTCATTTTTAATGACCTCTATTTGCTTGTTTCATTTTAAAAACAACAAATCAAATCATATCTCCTTGTTACTGACACTCATACATGATTTATTGTATCATTCGATAGATCGTATAGAGATGAAGAATTGATTTCGATGGTAAATAATCAATAAAAAGAATTTTGAATCCTGTATTATAAGTGTCATATATCAAATTTTGAAATTTCATGTTGAAAATATCATAAGATTCTTAATTTAAAATGTCATAGGATTCTTGGCTGGAAACATCATGAAATTTTTATCATCAGATTCTTTACATCGAATTCTGTCATTGAAATGTCATCGGATTCTTGACATTCCAGATTCAGAGAGAACAATCATAAGAAGAAAAAATCAATTAACTAAGAATAGAAGAAATTTTTTTTCTCTTTCCACCTGACAGAATATTTTTGTAATTTTAAGTTCAAAGGGCAAAAATTGATTCATCAAAATTTCAAAAGGAATATTATGTTGAATTTCTTACAACTATTGATTGTTTTCTTTTGTTTTTCCAGCGTTCAATAAAATTTTAATTGCAGTAATTCGATTCTCATTTAACTTTTCTTCATTTAAAATGTATAATAACATTTTACTGATTAAATACTAAAAAAAATTTCCGGATCAGGAAATGATACTCGTTCAAAATTTCTTATCGGCTGGTTATAACTGCAATCATGATAACCTGGTGAATATAACAAATGTCTGTTACAGATTACATTAGTCACTTTGCTTAAACTATTTATCAAATATTACAATTATATATCTTTTTTTTAATAATTCATTAATTAAAAATTTTTTATTCAACAAAAAAATTCACTTAAAACAAAGAGACTTAAATTTGGGCAAAAAGAAAGTAAAATCTTCAAGTATAGCTAAATAAACATTTTTCTTTTGAAATTTATGTATTTTAAATTTTTGAGGAATTTATTTCTGAGAAATATGATTTGGGTCTAAGGAAATAATAAGGCCTTTGTCTTTTTTCTTTTGTTTTTGACTAATGAGCTAATTAAATTTTATTTTTAAATTTACGATATTTCAATAATATTTTTTTTCATTTGCAAAAAGAATGAAATTTTATATTGGTATAACTTCCAACGCTTCAGCAACATTTCGTTTTCCTTTTTTGTTTTATTTGTGTTCGAAATGATGCTGACAGTTTTGCACTTTCAATAAATATTTTACGAAAAACCAGTTACTTTCTCTTTCCCTCTCTCTCTCCCTCTCTCTCTCTCTCTCTCTCTCTCTTGAGATTTCTTTTTAATTTTAAACTTTTTTTTCTTTTTCTTTCTCTTAAAAAAATCTATGATTAATGAAATCCTTGAAGTGAGATATTTTAACAATATTTTATAATTTTCTTTTCTTTTGTCAAATTCTTAAAATTTCTTAAGTTAAAGGATAATATTCGAGCGGTCGATTCACTTGATGTGATATCATCTGATCCTCTCAATCTTATATGATATTTTTGATTTACTTGATATTATCATTTACTACTTACAGTTTATTCAAACGGGAATCCTACTCTCTCGATAATATTCCAGCGATCGATTCACTTGATGTGATATCATCTGATCCTCTCAATCTTATATGATATTTTTGATTTACCTGAGATTATCATTTATCTATTTATAGTTTATTCAAACGGGAATCCTACTCTCTCTCTTTCATCCTGATTTATCATTTATACGCAATCTTTATTTACTATTTACAGTTATTTAGACGGGAATCCTACTGTCTCTCTCCCTCTCTTTCATCCTAATTTACCATTTATATGCAATCTTTTTGCATTCTTTGACCTTTCTCTCTTTATCTATTCATTTCATTTCAATAGCTTTTCTTCATTTCATTTTATCATTCCCAAAATGATTAATTGTTTCTTTTTTTCACCTCTATTTCTTACAGGCAAATAATTTCAATCAGAAAATTGATCGATCAATAGTTCAAATTAAAGATTAGATTAAATTTGTTTATGATAGAATGAATCATTCTATCAATAGTAGTGAATGAATCATTTTGAAATAAATCAAAATTTAATAAAAAATAAAATAAAATAAAATTTTGTTCAAATCAAAAAGGAAAAAGAGAAATGAGCGACAAATAATTTTATCTAATGATGACTAATGCAAATTATAATGGCTGTTCTCTTTTCCTTCTGAAGTTGTCAACAGTAAGAAATAAGGTAACATACATGCGTGCATGCATGCATGCATGCAGTTATGCAGTCGTAGTTATAATTTGATCAAATACAGTAAGCAGTACAAGTGATTATACTTATGAATTTATAAATTTTTTTCTAATGAAGAAAAAGGGGAAATTACCAATTTGATGACTAACGACTAACGAACCATTTTCTTCTCTAATATTTTCCATTTAATTAAAGAGTTTATTTGAACTGTTAATTGATTATCAGTCTTTCAGTTGAACTATTGGTGATTATCAGTCTATGATTAGTAGTTCTTTTCAAACTTTATCATTCCGGAATTATAAGATAGTCAAAGTGTTGTAACATTATATTGAGTTGGATCTACTTTGTTGCAACTTCTCTTCTCATTTCCATTATCGACAATTTAGGAATAAATATCCTTCGAACTGTTTATCATACCGTTTTTTATATCGTCAAGCTTTATTTAGCGTCAAGCTTTATTTAGATGAAAAGGATTCTGAAATCGAATGAAAGAATTTTGTAGTATAAAGAGAGGAATCTAAAACCATCTGATAGCTCATAAAATTTACATTTAAAGTAAATTTATGAAGTCATTTTAAAATAATCTTTTTGCTATAAAATTTACCTAAATCGATCGGTCAACTTATTAGCAGTAAAGGTTCATTAATCAGTGCAAATTAAAGAAAATCAAAATCGTTAATTATCTTAAGAAAATTTAATTACTTCAATTATTTCATTAAGTTTTTGCTATTGGTTGAATGAATTGAAATGATGTTACTGAAGCGAATCAATTATTAGTCATCTCATTCATTCAAACTTAAAGAATTGTTAGCTTTAAAAAGTTTAAAAGTCGAAATTACAACGAATCAATTTTTTCATTTTATTCTCTTCCACATTTTCAGTTAAAACATTTCACATTTTCTCTTTTAATCTTCTTTTTTAACAAAAAAATTTTTTTCCTTCTAATTTTATTGTTTTCCCTATCGGCTAATGACTTTCATACAAATTCGAAAATACTTTTCGTTTTCCGATACGATCGATCAGTTAACTTTCTTCTTTTTTCATTTCACCTCAAAACATTACATTTTACAACCATTCTTTTCAACAATTAATTGTCGTCCAAAACTAAATCGTTCACTATAATAGGCCTAATTAATTATCACTCACTATAATAGGCCCTAATTAATTATTATAAAAAAATAAAAAACTTTTTTCACTTTTTCTTTTTTTGTTGCAAAAAATTTTGTGTCTTATAAATTTCAAATTTATTGCTAATTTTTTTTAAAAAAACTTTGCTAAATTTTTTTTCATACTTTTTCATCGTTGCTACTAA